TTGACATTATTAGGGATCGCAGTGACCCTAATCCAATCAGATTGATTAACTAAAGCGGAGACCCCATAAGCTGACCCCCCTCTGGCCTCTGCTATTTAGTCCTGACCAAACAGTGGGAGAGACGTGCCGTATTTACACCACAATGGGTCCGCGCTGAGAACCTGTTTCATTACAGAGCGACTTAAACTCCCATTACTCCATCAATGTATCATTCTTCAATAGTTCATTAAAAGCTGCTCCTCCACAATAACTATTAACCATTTCTCAGTCCAGCTGGCAGGTTTAAAGCCCCAGCCAGTCTTTAGCAGAAGGAGGTGGGAGTGAGTGAAAGAAATAGATAGACAAGGGCTCCCTTTTTAAATTTAAACGAACTGGGGGCTTAAATAGTTTGAGGTAATTTACTTTTATTGAATGGGGGGAGGAGAGGGAGGAAACTTTTATTTTGACTTAATTATGTGCTGAGGTCCTTTAAAGAGACAGGGCCATGATAAGCTTTTATTGTATTACTTGTCTTGAGATCAGTTCATATTTCTGCCCAGAGGAGTTTCAAAGAGAGCTCGCACGGCGTTGAGAGACTAGAAAATGCACCACAACTTAAACATAAACAGTGTCTTCAGTCCATAAATATTAAAAACAGAGCGAAAGACACAATTCCTAGTAAATGCCACTTAAGTTTGAGATGGAAGATGCCTGTTAGGTTGCACAGTTCATTTTCTGTTGCCAGTGATGGCATGTCCCTCTACCATATCCTCCAAAGTTTTATCCTGTATATTTTTAAAGGCAACTCAAAAATCTTTCCTTGTCCTTGGGAAACTGAAAGATATGGCAACTGCCTTACAAACTGCCAAACCTCTCAGGTAAGTGCCTGGGCATGAGCTGTGGCTAAGGTGGTCACTTAAGGTCATGTGGCTATGGCCATGTTCTGCTCCACTGCTTTGCACAATACAGGTGAAGTAACCGTATCAGTCCCAAAGAAACAAATGAGAACACATTTTTTCCTCTAGAAATTACTCTGTTAGAAATGTTCAAGTGAGGGTTTCTTTCCACTGTCCAGTAGTTGAGATCTGAACTTCTGGGAAACTAGAAATTTCATTAACTGTAGCCTATTATATATGACTGACAGACAAATAGGTAGGTTTAGGTAGAAGGAAAGAGATTAGGCTCACTTCTTTTCCTATATAGGCATCCTGTTCTTTGCATTCCCAATAGTTTAGGGTACCTGAGCCACATATTTCCTAGCCCTTTGCAAGAAAGACCCAACAGTGGCACCTATCTGAATGTTTCTCCACGGAGCTGCACAGCTGCTCATACGCTCCCAAGGCCACAAAGGAGGAGAAAAACCCTCTTCCAACAGCCCCGTAGCAATTTCACCTCCTGCTAATCACAGAATCATTCCCCATGCGGGTAGCACAGCACAGCGAGGAAGGCGACTCTGTTCCTTTTGAATAAAGAACATTTATTCCACAGCCAAGGACAGGCAAAAGTGAATAATTTAATAGCTGGATGGGATGGGGGACTTGTGTTCCTCATAGGTCCTGAGCGACATATGAAGAGCTAGAGGGACATAGGGCCAAGCCTGTCAAGTATTGCCTCCAAAGAGTAGCAGGTCTGGATCCCCTGAACATCACCATTCCCTTGTAGCTGGGCTCATGAATACCATTGCTGTTTAATATGGGATTCATTAGGCCTGGCTATGGAAATGTAAACAAAAAAAATACATAAACATAGTTGTAGGTAAAACATGTGGAATTTCTTTCCATAAACAGGCTGATGGGGAAACAGAGTCCGGTTTTAGACGAGATATCAGAATATGGCTCTTAATGGGACCAGAGTCTGGTGACAGTTTGGCACCGCTGAATCACAGCTCAAGCCTAGCCCTGAATTAGCAATGAGATACCAAAGCAGCAAGGGCAGCCCAGACAGTGAGGCAGCCTCAGTGAGATCTGGGCCTAGAAAGTATTTCCTGAAGGCATTAAAATCAGTCCTTTTCAATGGAAGAATTGCAGATAGTCGTGTAAGGCAAAAGGGAATTGCTTTAGTGACTACGCTGGTTTGTGCTGAAGGAGGATGGAGTCCCTATTGACTCAGATGAGAAGCTGCAGTCAGATCTTGGGTGACTTAAAATCCCAGCTGCAAAGTAGAGTTTTGCTTGCTTGCTTGCTTTCTCTCCTTTTCTCCTTCTCTCTTTCTGGGTAGGAGCTCAAATATGTTCCTACCCTGGGGGATCTGCCGCACAAGAATGCGACTGAGCTGTTTTTTTTCTCCCCCCTCCTGCTGTAGGTGAAGCAAAACTGAAGGGTGGTTTGATTCTCCCTCAAGGAACAACATTCTTCAGTTATGAAATAGTCCCAGCCTTCTTTCCCTCCCTGAGCCTGGCTACCAAAAGCCTGCAGTCTCAAGCAGGGACAGACCCTTGGTGTCGACACCGTTGTGAGATAAGAGCATTTGGCAGCTTGTGGGATCGAGGCTCCTTCGGTCAGCAAGGAGTTGAAGATCACTTTCCTCGTGCACAGGGTATAATTGCTACAGGAGACGTGGATTGTCTAATTCAAGAGCATCTGGGAGCGCAAGGTGCTCCATGTGTCCTTAAGGACATCCAGCCTTGTGATGAGGCAAAGGCATTGGGTTATCTGGTTCACTTACTGCCTGTGCCCAGTGAATGCTCTTGGGCAAATCACACTGGGATTGTGCCTATGGGAAAAATACTCAGTTTGGCTGTGCTGGCCTAATTCAACTGCTATAGTCACCCAGAAGTGATGTACCCAGAACGGGTGTTTTAATTGCATGCAAAACATTGTGGTATGACTCTTTGATATGGGCTTAAGTGCACCACACTGAAGATCTACCAGGTGTAATTATTTTGGGGTGATCTCTCACCGCTAAACCCGAAGAGTGACACCAGCGTTAATACGGTGCCTCAGCTCCCCAGCTCTAACGGGGTAACCCCACCAGCTGAAACCACCCCCTCTCCTGCTGGGTGCATGTAGAACGCCTGTGGTGGAGGCCCTGCCACGATACAAATCAAGGCTTTGCTCTCTCTTGGCTGCCCTATTTTTCAAAATTCACGCAAAAGGAAATGCCCAAGACTCTTCTGAGTAATGCAGCAGGGGAAAAACAAACAAAACCCCTATCTCCAGATGGCAAGCACTGGAAGAACAGGCCCCAAGGTGGCTGTAGACCAGCTACGTACACCAACTCAGGAAGAGTCCCTGAAACTGTCCCAGATGTTCCCTCCTCTCCTCATACGAGTTCAAATGGTGCTACTCTGCTATTCCAGACAAAGTAATTCCAACTCTCAGACTGTCAGGAACCCGTATTGTTTCTCTTTTGCAAAACCAAAAAAGAAAGAAAGAAAAGACGATTTCCAAGCCTCTTCTGCTGGTGCTCTCCTAAGAGAAAGCAGCCGTATTCCCGCACAGCTCTGCACAGGGCACCTGGACTTACCATCTGGGCAGGAATGAAATGCAAAGCGATTCTGCCTCTTGGATGAACCCCTTTGTGCTAAAGGGAAAGGCAGAGCTTGACCCAGACTTACCGAGAGCAGCAAGAGCAGGCTGGACTTTAAAAGGCATGCTACGAGGGCAAAGAAGGATAAAACAGTTCTTGCGGGCTAAAATAGGCTCCTGCCAACTTATAGGGGAAAAGACCAGATACTCAGCGTTAGCCAAGTGCTTAAAGCCCACTGCATTCAACAACTTAGGGCAAAACATTTCTAAGAGATTCCACTTATATCAAATCGTGCTGTGTCAGAATTAATTGCCTGAGTTAGCACCCTGCCTTAATTTGCCAAGTTCATAACCCATGAAAGCAGAACCATTAACTGATGGCGATTTCCTCAGGCCTTTGATCTTCGTTGTGTCCCATTACGGTATCAAAACTGATGGTATCTGATAAGTCCAGCCCCTACGAACCATTCCCAACAGCCCATCATTTCCCCTCTGCAATCATCGAGAGAGCTGAAAATGCACCATGAAATGCTACGGGGTCAGAAAAGGAGCCAGACGTCCAGCCTGACCACTGACAACACAATAATCCTTTGTGTTCCTTCCAAGGGGCATAGGATCATAGGATAATTCATGTTGAAAGGTACCCCGGGAGGTTTCTGGTCCAACCTCCTGCTCCAAGCAGGGTCAGAGATGACCCCACTCCCTGTGCACTGCTGAATGGGGCACTTCCCAGTTCTCTGGGTCAGGCCCAGTAGAGGTTTGTGGTAGAAATAGTGGTTACCTGTGACTGGATGTTGGCTGTACAACAGAGATGGTGGGTTACCACCCTCCTCACATTGGGTAGGCACAGATTTACTTCTCTGGGTCAGCACAGTAGAGGTTTGTGGTAGAAATAGTGGTTACCTGTGACTGGATGTTGGCTGTACAAAAGAGATGGTGGGTTTGCACCATGAAATGCTACGGGGTCAGAAAAGGAGCCAGACGTCCAGCCTGACCACTGACAACACAATAATCCTTTGTGTTCCTTCCAAGGGGCATAGGATCATAGGATAATTCATGTTGAAAGGTACCCTGGGAGGTTTCTGGTCCAACCTCCTGCTCCAAGCAGGGTCAGAGATGACCCCACTCCCTGTGCACTGCTGAATGGGGCACTTCCCAGTTCTCTGGGTCAGGCCCAGTAGAGGTTTGTGGTAGAAATAGTGGTTACCTGTGACTGGATGTTGGCTGTACAACAGAGATGGTGGGTTACCACCCTCCTCACATTGGGTAGGCACAGATTTACTTGCTATCCCTATGACAATGCTTAATTATCTTCTTGTCTCTACGAAAGACCTTCTGGGTCAGGTCTGAACTGCTTAGATGAGGTCCTGGGCCAACAAATTTTTCCCTGCCTGTGTCACATGTCTCCTTGATCAAGCTCAAGAACCGTCTCCAGCAGCCCATTTTACATGGCACTTTACCACAAGCAAATGAGTTCACAGTAGGTTTCTCAAGATCTCTGCTGCTACTCCACCCTGGATGTTGCTGTTGCCAAACCCGTAGCACTGCACTCACCTTTATCTAGCACGGGCCCGAAGATGGCTAAGCTGTCATTGACGGTCGTGCAGTTCCACCTTCTCCCTCGAAATTGGTGTTGGCACTCCTGGATCCCAATCTTCACCCCTTCTGCTACACTGGGCATGATCTCCACATAGTTCCGACAGAAGCGTAGCTGCTTGGGTACCAGTCCTGGGATGCTCCCGCACAGGATGGGCTGAGTCCCCAGGGAGGAATACTGGTGACCGATTGCCAAGGACCTGGAAAAAAAAACCAAGGAAAATGAGATGCTGTCAAGCTGGCTTTCACCTTTGTACTCGGTTCACAAGAACAGGGACAGAAAATCAACATCTTCAGTTCCTCTGCATTATCCTCTCCAGAAAACGTCCTTTCCACTGTCATCCCTCCCCAAAACAACATAATCTCTCTCCTGAAGTTCCGTACAGGCCCAACAAGGCAAGCAAGTCTACCTTTAATATCTTCCTTCCCTTTTCTTTATCATCTCAAAGCCTTAATCAATCATTGTGCTGCTTCTTCCCAAGGATGCTCAGCTCATGCGGATAGTTTCCTTTGCAACCAGAGGGTCAAAACCATATTTCTTTCTTTGAAAGCCAAGTACACCTGTACAACAGCAGGTAGGTTTTGTAGGAAATTTTGGCATCTGAGGAAGCCCAGGGATTAGAGAGTCAAAAGCACTTTCAGAGCTACACAAAGTAATAACACCAGTAGAAGAAACCATGCTCCAAGTCTTTGAAAGGGGAACGTCAAAAATTGACAGCCATCATACAACTCAGCAGTGTGCCCTATATATTTGAACCTTACCAGGTAACTTCTGTGCACTGAAACTGACCCTAAAGACTCAAGCAGTTTGGACCTTGAGAACTTAAAGAACCCAACTCTGAGCTAAATGCTGCAGGAGTGCTACATAAACTCACTGATCCATGATGCTTTCATAAGCAGTTAAATCTCCTGTGCTGCAGAGGAAAGGGGATGGAAATATAGCCCTGCTGGAATAGAAACAACCCGGGGAAAAACTCTCCTATGGCTTAATATGGATCCAACGTCAATGCCATTCCTCCGTGTGAACAATTGTACTCATGTTACTAGAAACATTCGTGCATAGGTGAATGCAAGTTGGGAGCCATGGTTGGCATATTGGTAACATCCCTGAAAGTATGGTCTAGAAAAGATACTTTAGCAAGGTATTTCTACAGCTGCTTAATCCAGGCATATGCTTTGCAAAGCTTTATACTGGGGCTTTCTAATCAGGTTGAAATGTTTTAAAACTAAGTTATTAAAATGGCTGCCAGTGTCCTTCTGGATATTAGTTCAGCACATTTTCACTTTACTTTCACACCAGTTTCAATTTGGGAATTTTCAAAAGTAGGGCTGTATTTTCACAAAATAATGCCAGCTTTGCTGTACTGTCACAATGACATGAAGAGCCCGCTTTGACCATCAATCTGCAAATTGCTTTGGTTAAAGTGAGGAGAGTGAAATTAAAAAAAAAAACCAAACACCAAGAAAACTTGAGTGCAAATTCTGTGCTCAGCCAAATGGAAGTCTGTTGAAAGGAGTGTCCACGAACCATTATGTTGGTTGAAGCCTTAGAGACAAACAAGTCAGCTATGCAAAGAGATCAGCAGATACGTAGCTAATTATATAGATTTTTGAATTGTTTTTACTGGTGCTTCTAATAATAACCTTGATTACTAAAACTGAAGGGATTTTTAGAGTATAATTTCCATTTCTTCTAATTAAATCTCTTGATTGACTTTTCTGCTCAGAATTAATGACAAACAGAAACCTGCCTGGGCAGTGTGTATTTCTGTTTACATTCATTTTTGCTATGTGGTTTTCATTTGGGAACAGCCTGGTGTGTTTGAATTATCAACAGGGCAGTCAAGGAACATGCCTTCACTCTCTTTTGCTCCGACTAAAAAAAAGTACAAGAATTCTATCATTGCTGGAGTTCAGAAGAAAATTAGCTTGACTTTAGCACTTTTCTAGGCTAGGATAAAAATTGTTTTAAAATGTCTGTCCTTTTTATGGGAGAAGGGTACTTACAGTCAACTAGCTCCCTTCCTGGTGGGTACCTGGTCAAGAGGGGACAGAAGTGAAAAGGAGGTGGACATTCAGATGGTCAGGTACCAGGGGATTTTAGGCTGAACTCAGTGGCTTTACTAAGTGTGCATAGACTAGGCTTTACAAATCAGTACTTTCCAGGCAAGTGAGACATAGGGACATCCATTTCTGGATCCCAAATGACTCTAGGTAGGAGTCTAGAACCAAGACAATCAGCTCAGCCAAGAATGTGTCCTCCAAGACATTGCCCAGTAAATGAAATTTAGATGGGCAAGGTAGAAGGTGCCTGGGAAAGCAAAGAGTTTTCAGATGATTTCCTAAACTTAGGTGCCTCTTTCCACTTCAGCTGCACTTTTGGGAGAAGATTAATCTCACCTAATATTAGAGGGCAATTCATCCTACCCCAGGGAGGGAGGATGAGATAAGCAGCATGAACTGCCCTCCAGAAGTGCCTCTCTCTTTCCATTGCTTTAAAAGAGGGAGGCAGGCAGCTCACATCATTGACCAGGAACTGTGTTCATATCACCTAACTTCTGATGTCTGCAACACGGACATCTCCAGCTGATCTACTCATCCCGGCCTGCTTTTGTAATCAGTCAGTGGAGAGAAACAGGCACTTCTACGGCACGATTTATCTGCCCATGTTAGATGTCTGCTTTGGGATGAGGTGAATCATGGCCTTGCCTCTATTGACTGTATTGGCTAGACTATCAAGACAGCCTGGGTGACTGGTTGAGTGGGATATGTCTGCGCTGTAAAAGTCTCCAGATGAATCATGCCACGATACCTAACAATTGGGATGGCTAAGTTCCTTGAAAAAGTCCCACCCAGGAAAGCTAAGTGCTGTGCTGAAGTCCATGCAAAGAGCTCAGCTGTAGGAAGGAGGCAAGTTCCTGCAGGAGCCTGCAGGAACCCACAGGAGAAGACCAAGGAAAGGACCCAGTTAACTCGTTTTCCCTATCTGAGTGGCGTGATGTGGGTTTTCTTGAGCTTTAGATTAATTCAGGGAACAACTAGTGGCAGAAAAGCACCTGTGAAATGGAGCCCATTCCAAACCAAAGGGTGTTTTCACTTTGACTGCACTGTGTACATTTTTGTTTCATTGTTAAGTTATATACAAAAGAATGGATCACAGTTTCTGGACTAAAGACACTTTCTAAAACACCGCTTCAGACTTCAGAGAACTTGTTGAGTGTGTTGCCTCTGTGGCCTTGTTGGGAATGTGAAGTCTTAGGGTGCCGGATCTCCAAATCTCAACCCATTCAACCCCCTGAGGACTGGGAGTTAGGAGGTATTCACAGATGCCAACTTTAGGCTCGGGAGCTAGATGGTCCTATCTCTGTAAACAATAGGGAGAGATAGATCCCTTCATCGAAGCCTCCAGAGAAGAGCACTAACTTAGTTACTCTGATTCATCCTTCAGAGAATAGTTCAGCCACTGATATGCAGGGAGTCCAGGATGTGGAGACTTTCCAGTGTCTAAAGTTAACTTTGGTGGAAACATCTGTAAAGTTTGTTCCCACATCGACTAGAGGCACCAGCATCCTTCCCAAAGCTTTCAAAAGTGCCCCAGCCAGTTCCCACCAAAGATAAAGTACCCACTGAGATAGAATCAACCTGCTGTAGGCTCCATCCATCATGTTGTGAAGCCAGGAGGACTTTCTTGAGCTATTTCAGTAGGACCTGGATGAAGTTTTAGGATTCCAGTCTCATAAACTTTAATTATGTGAACAGCTGAACTCATGCCTGTATGTTTTTTGGTGGTTACCACAGTGGTAGAGTGAAAATACCAGTCATAGGAAGAGGAGTTTATAGGTTGGTGCCCTCAACTATTCGTTTCCGTTGCTGGGAAGATCATCTAAGATAAAAAAAAAATAAAAACATGTAGAAATACTTTCAATGGCTTTTCACACTGCTCCCTTCTCAATACAGTAGGGAAACAGTCACACCTTGCTTTGATCTGTGTTACAGTCTGGAAAGTTTAATCTGCAGAAGACAATCTCCAGCAAGTCTTGTTCTCAAGGCGTCATCAGGCACTGAGACAGTGTAATGCAAATTTGGCATTTCATGGAGGAGTGTGTAGTCACCTGACTTTCAGCTGAAGATACAGGGTGGAATCTCAAAACATCTCTCCATGAACAGTGCCTCTGCTGTTAAGCATTGCTAAGCACAGTCCTCTTCCTAGCTCACTTGCAGACTCTGGAGTGTGATAACATCTATCAGAGCACCCTCTTTCGGTCTCTATGTTGCTTCCAGCTTCCAGGTGTAAACACTTTCTCCCTCTCTCTAAAGTCAATTTAGCTTTAGGAGAACCAAGTTCTTTCAGCTTCCTCTCATTTTTACTGATCACGAGGTATGAACCTTATGAACCTTCCAACCCTCCTCTCCCCTCAAAAAAACAACAGCCACCCAACAACCAAAACCTTTAGAAAAGATTGGGAAAGTCTATAAAGATCAGAATCTCATTTCAGTGTTACTCAACTCTCTAGTAGCTCCCATCATTCTTTTTTCTCACTGTTTCCAATGATTAAACCTGTCTTTTGCATTTTTCCACTCTCCTGCGATCTGCTTCTAAACTGTCTTCTGCATGTGGGTAATTTTGAAAACGTGGTGTCGAGAAATGGGCCAAGTGTCATCTATTGCGGTCTAACCAGGCATCATCTTCAAATTTCTTAAGCACCAACACTTCCTGGATGCATTGACACCAACCTCTTCTTTTCCACTGGAGAATTCATGAAGCACTCAAGTTTACAGACACACTCATCCCCAGAACAGGTACTGCTCAAGTTTGAACCAAAGGAAAGGGTCAACAAGCTGTTCTTTTCAAACCAATTAGCCTTTTCTTCCCATTAGCTCAGGAGGAGCCATGAAAACACTTTTCTGTACGTCCACAGCCAAAGATCTTGGCTTATCTTTAAGCCTTGCATGCCCTAAAGTGTTTAATTCAACCTTCAGTGAGCATTTTTCTTTGCCAACACACCTAGAGAGCTCTTTATTTCCCTTATCTCAAGCTATCTGCTCCTTCAGCAGGGCCGTTGTAAATCAGTACCTGGCCACCTTCTTAATAAATTACAGGTACCCCCCCTCTTGGAATGGACACTCCAGCCAGTTTATGAGGAAGAAATATGCAGGCAATATATGCTCATAGCTTTTTCAGAAAAAGAGAAGGCTTCAG